CTGTTGGAACAGCTTTGTATGTATTCATCACCGGTATTTGTACTTGGGACAAAAGCCGCTGCTCTCGGATGTGTTTTCGTTTATTCAATATGACAAACACAGTAGCGGCTGTGTATCTTTATGAACGTAGAAAATAATTGTGCACAAGTTTAGCAATATAATTGTGCCTAATTTGCAACTTTAGGTGCTAAGGGAGGGCGGATATAAATGAAATATAATTTGAAATAGTTCAAAAATCTTATCATCTTTTATTATGAGTAATAGAATGACATGAGGGAAATTATTGATTAAATGCCCCAAAGGCTAGGGAGGTTTGTGGAATTCCCTCGGGTGTAGTTTGTATCATCACCGAGGTACCGTAATTAGTTTCTTTTGTTTAAATCTTATGTAAATGAGAATCCAAACAAGTATGTAATAATTAACAGTACATAAAAAAGTCTCTTTCTTATTGTTTGGATGTTCGGGCAATTTACTAAATCGAGCGGGCAAGTTAGTAAATTGCCCGCTCAGAGAGAATTTAGAGATTTTAATGGTCGCACTCGGAACAATAGAACCCGAGGTGATGCATGATGGTATTACTTTAGTAATTATTATCTGACTGTTGTAAAATAATAATATAAAATAATGGTATTCTTTTTGTGTGACATTTTACTCGTGATGTAATGTGTAAGTGTTTAGATCTTCTCACTCTTGTACGAAGATCTACACTCCTACACATTACATCACGAGTATAAAATGTCACAAAAAAATCATATACAACATTCGCTGGATTAATATTTGGCACCATGCAGGCATGGAAAGGAAGAAATTCGTCCATGTCATCATGCAGGCATGAAAATGAAGAAATTCGTCCATGTCATTAACATCACAAATAAATAACGTTGTTCCCAACCTGGCCTTGTAGCTCAGAAGGTAGAGCGTCGTTCTAGAGATGCGAAGGTCGGGGGTTCGAAGTAAAAAAATAGCAAAAAATAGCAAACAATTTCATTTTACACGGTTATAATTAGAAATTGGCTTTTGGAGGATTTAATTAAAATTAATGATCATATACACATTTTGGTAATTTTAATAACGAAAAATCAGTGTGTTCAGCTCACAGCTGAGTGCTATATAATTTCACCATGTCGAATATTCAGGCAGACAATAAAACAATGCATGTGCTCATTGTTGATCAGCTGGTTTTTTAATCAATTAAATTTTAATAAAAAGTATCAAAATTGTAATAAAATACAAGTCTGTTCCGCTAGCCAAAAAATATTTACTGAAATATTAAAAACACCAAGCTTGCGTAAATTGTGAATAAATTAAAAATAATAAAATATTGAATTTTCTACAGTTTGTCCACCAACGTAATGTCTTTACATCCATGATTAAAAAATAAGTTCATCTTTGTTTGGTCAGTCGTTCATTCATTTTAAAAGAGCCTCTGCGTTTGTCTAAACAATGATGGATCATGTTCACAGCTGGGATAGTTAATTGGTGGACAAACCTGACAAGTGTAAAAAGTTCTATATTTTATTATTTTTAATTTATGCGTACTAACAACTTACGCAAGCTTGGTGTTTTTCAATATTTCAATAAATATTTTTAGCTAGCGGAACAGACCTGTATTTTATGTACTATTTAAAACAATGAGCAGCAGTGTTTTATCACTCAGATATAAACATATAAGAGGCGAAGCCGAGTATCTTTAGGTCTGATAAAACACGCACTGCGAATGTTTTAAATTGCTTCAAAACGATCGATCTAGTAAGTTCATTGGCGAATTAGTAATTTTCAAACAGGGTTCGTAGCAGGGCCTTTTTTAACATACAAGCTGGGGGGGGGGGCATTTGCCCCCAGTCCCCCGAAATCACATTTTGCCCCCCCCCCAGGAAAAGTCCCTTTTCCCTAAAATTATACAAACAAACCAGCGAAGATTAACAAATACATAAACGGAAAGTAAGTTTTAGGCTTTATCCTTTGTCCTTGTTTAACAAAATCGATTTAAATTGTTACTTTTTTCTACCACTAAGTAATGATAAATTATTGTTAATAATTTTTCTATTTTTTGGATGCTCAGAATGCAGGAAATAGCATTTCCGGGTTTCAAATTTCAAAAATTTTCTGGGGATTATCCCTCTAATAAGTAATGATAAATTACAGTTAATATTCTTTTTTACTCTTTGTGCATTTTTTCCATCTTTTATTTCAAATACAAGTATAGTTAGCATAAATTTTAGAGCAATTTTGGATTGCTCAGAATGCAGGGGAAATGGCATTTCCGTTTCTGGGGGAGTACACCCCACACACCTGACCATTGCTATCCTCTTCTAATAAGTAATGATAAATGATGGTTATTTTTTAAAACTTTTTGTGGGTTTTTCCTTTATTTATTTCAAATACAAGTATAGTTAGCATAAATTTTGGAGGAAATGACATTTCCGGGATTCAAATTTCAAAAATTTCTGGGGGAGTACTCAGATTTTATGCCGTGGGTGGCATGCAGTTGGCCACGGCCACACACGTGGCCTTCAGCCATTGCTATCCCCCTCTAATATATTATCTCACAGAAAGGTCCCTTTTTGAAAAATGCCCCCCCCCCCACGGGAAAATCCTTAAAAAAGGCCCTGATTTGTAGCGGTCTTTGAGAATGCAGGTCTTTAACGACTTTAAGGTCTTTGAAAAGTCTTTGAAGTGTGTGAAAAAGCGAAGAAAGTCTTTAAAAGTTTTTAAAATTTTTAGTGATTATTTGATTATACGATTTCCTAGCTAATAAAATAGATTGATTGAAGCAAGATTTTCGCAAATATCGACGAAAATTAAAAGTGCATTTTAGGGTGTGATTTGACGGGACTAATTACCTGGTAAAAATGGTGCTTATACATCGCAATTTTTCGACACCTGATTGCTCTCAAAGGTCTTTAAAAAGTCTTTGACAATAGGCAGAAAAAGTCTTCGAAATTTTTTGGTCTTGGAGACTGACTACGAACCCTGTCAAAAAGTACGTATGTACGCGTCGAGAAAATCAAAGTTAAAGTTTATGTGAATCAAGGGAAATCTCTATCACATATAAAGATACGCTTATGATTTTCCTTTAATTTGTGTTTTCCTCATGAATTATTGATGAGTTTTTAACATAATTTCAATACTTTTTTGTTAAAATTTAATTGATTAAAATACCGGCTGATCAATAATGAGCCCATTCATTGTTTTCTTGCCTGAATGTTCGACATGGTCAAATTACAGTACTCAGCTGTGAGCTGAGCACACAGTTTTTTTCGTTATTAAAATCACCAAAATATATATGATCATTAAATATAATGAATTTTAATTAAACATTCACAAAAGCCAATTCCTAATTATAACAACTAGAATGAGAAAATTTAAAATAGAGATGCAATGTGAAATTGCTTGCAATTATGAATAATAGGGCATGATTTTAAATTTTTAAATTATTTCTCAATCTTTTAATATTTTAGCACACTCAGCTAAAATAGATGGTGGCCAAACTGTAAAAGTTCTATATTTTATTATTTTTAATTTATTTACACTAATAATTTACTCCCATGCAGTTTGTCTACTTCGTTTTAGTCATTTTACTCTGATGATGAACCTTTAGCTCGAAAGCTTGGTGTTTTTATATTTCAACAATAGCTATAGCGGAACAAGCTTGTATTTTATTACGAACAAGACGCCAGCTCAGGCGTTCACACTGGATTCAAAATGGCAACTTGGGTATGGTAGGTGTAATGTATAGTAGATCGAGAAGTAAATAGGGATGCAGGAAGTGTGGATCATATAAATACAACCAATAAATACAACCTTATGATCATCAACTATATATCAGCCATAATATAAGAAGATGCCAGCTCAGGCGTACCCTCTGCATGGCTATGGGCAACTCAACCAGCTGGTTTGACATGCCCACTGTGCATGTGGCTTAGACTGCAGAGGCCCGGTCCACACGTCATTTGGACGTGTATTAGCTAAATATTTAGTACTTTAAGCTGATTTTAACAAAAACTTCAAAGATTATGTTGGCGAGGTCACCATTAAAGGTGGAAGTGTCCGTAAATCGAAACCTCAATAAAATGTTCTTCCAAGACGTCCGGTAATATGTCTTCTTACTGATCCACATGATACAATGAAATATGATCCAATATGATCCGGCTGGGTATACGGGGTGCACGATACGGCAAAGTACCTGATGTAGTACAATCCTGTATTGAATCCATTGCAAGAGCCGTACAATGCGTACAGTCGACTACGGTATGTCATAGCTATAACGCTGTAAATAGTATGTACAATGCGGTAAAATGCACCACAGAAGACATGCTGTACAATATACTATATAAGTGGTGTGCAAGTTACGTCACCGTCGCCATGTTGGATGACATTGACAAAGGATTTAGCTTGTTTGCAATGTAAATATCATCCAACATGGCGAAAATCCCTTTGTCCTTTGAATTCCATGGGAGTGGTTGCACATCACCTGTGCAATATAAAATATCAGACGCAGTTTGGTCAAATAAAATCATTGTAGCTTGTGAGTTAAGACACAGCCATATTTTATTTTGCAGGATTATAGTTTTATGTATTCATGCATGCATGTATACGTTTGTTTCATATTGAACGTTAAAATAAATTACTCTTAAAATATGATTTGTAACTTTGTTCGTCAATATTCTTCACATGGTCAAACTCTAATAACTTCTTCACTTATTTTCATTTTCATTTTCATTGGCGCCAAGAGTATAATGGTGGATAATGCTCCTTAGTTTCTCTAATCGTTCTGCCGCGGTTAAATACATCTTTCTTTTTCCACTAAACGTAACATCGTCGTTATAAGTGATATCAGTGTTTGCCCCATTGTGTCTGTCCAATTTTCTGAATCCCTTTGTCTAAAAATGAAAGAAAATGCAAAATTGAGAATTCAGAACAATTTATGCTTTGCCGAATATACAGAATTATAGAGTATAATAATTAATGAAAAATATATGCATGAAAAAATTCTCAATTCTGATTGGCTAAGCCTAAGATCTGAGCGGTGCAATTTTTTTGAAATACAGTATCAAAAAATGGAATACAGCGCAAAGAAAAGAAATACAATATTTAGGCTTTCTGATTGGTTTAAATATGAAACAATAACAAAGATAGCCAATAAGATACAGCAATTTCCATCAGAAATAATACAAAAAAACCCAAACGGCATTGTGGTGTTTTTAGGAGTGACTGCTTAATTTTTTCATGCCTATATTATTAATGAGTATTATATAATAACGTTAAGAATTCAAGCGCTTTCATTGGTCGAGAGCCATGATCTACTGGAGGACAGATGCACGGATTTACGTCACAAGTCGTGATTCCCCTTATTACGTTTTCGTAGCGCTTTGCATTGTGGTTATAGTGGTATCAATGATATAGACCCCTTGCACATGACGTCACAGCGCCGGCGATGATGCATCTGGAGGACAAATTAGCAATCTATGCATAATATAACTTTTGTAAACAACCCAAATTTTGTAAAACTTTATAATAATTTTGTATTAAAATGGTTAATTTTGCGCTATATGTGGTTGTTGTACCCGAACAGATATTGTTAGGGAGCATCTGGAGGACACTCTAAGGATTTGTGACGTCAGTGGCTTATTTTTTGTCCTGACCCGCGCAAGAACGTTTAAAAAAGCTAGGATCAGGTGGGCGATATAGCCAACAGCAAAATATTCGAGGCCGCTATCTTTATCACTGATGCCACTATTTCCACAATGCAAAGCGCTACGAAAACGTAATAAGGGGAATCATGAATTAAGGTAGCCAGTAACTTTTCCTTATTTGTATATAGATCATCTACGTGTGATATTTGTAAACTTCGACTTTTCAAATTTCCAAATGTTTGGGTGGATAAAAAGTAAGCTAGTACCTGTTTAATGGACCATTTGCATTATAGACTAAATATTGATCTAGACAAAAATTTCATCACAGCTTGAAAGAGCATCACAAAATTAGTAATATTCCAAAGTTTCGTTGCGAAATGTTGTAAAATGCGGATAATATAGTCTTGCGAAATTTGCAATTTTCAGTCATTTTGCATTACAAATCGGGAAATTGATGCCCCAACACCCGATTGGGCTGTCAATTTCCCGTGCGTAATACAAAATGACTGAAAAACGGCAAACTTCGCATGGCTATATTATCCGCATTTTACAACATTTTACAACGAAACTTTGTAATTTTACTAATTCTCTTTCAAGCTGTGATGAAATTTTTGTCTAGATCAAAATTTAGTCTATAATGCAAATGGTCCATTCGGGTTTTTTATCAGTTTTATTATATAACACAAATAGATAAGATTTTGCCGTCGTTTGTTCAGCTATAGATACACAAAATGACATCATAATGTGGGAAGAACAGAAAAGTCACCCACTCGCCTCGGCGGCTCGTTACCACTCTTTTGTTCTTACCACATTATGACGTCATACTGTGTATCTATAGCTGAACTGACAACGGTAAAATCTTATCAATTCGTTAAATAGTATGATTTCTCGTGCAATTTGAAAAAACATACACTCCATGCATGAGTTCTTCAAAGACTTCAAATTGCACTCATGCAATTTTGACAGTCTTTGAAAAACTCACTCGTGCATGCTTCAGTTTCCAAATGGACCTTTTCCCCTTATAACTAAAATTTTGATCTCAACAAAAATTTCATCACAGCTTGAAAGAGCATCACAAAATTAGTAATATTCCAAAGTTTCGTTGCGAAATGTTGTAAAATGCGGATAATATAGCCTTGCGAAGTTTGCCGTTTTTCAGTCATTTTGTATTACGCATGGGAAATTGACAGCCCAATCGGGTGTTGGGGCATCAATTTCCCGTTTGTAATACAAAATGACTGAAAATTGCAAATTTCGCAAGGCTATATTATCCGCATTTTACAATATTTCGCAACGAAACTTCGGAATATTACTAATTTTGTAATGCTCTTTCAAGCTGTGATGAAATTTTTGTCTAGACTTGTCTAGATCAAAATTTTAATTATAAGGGGAAAGGTCCATTGCACTGGCGAAACCATACTATTACTATACAAGTAGATAAGTCAAGGTGATTCCATATATGTCCATACATCGTGGGAAGAAGTTTAAATATCATGCAGCGTTTTTTTTAAACAAAAATTATACACCATAGGATAGTTGTTTATATTTACATTTTTAATTCGCGGTTACAAAGTGTTTAGAAAAGTTGTCTCTCTTTTCGAGATACGAATACCACAATCTATTTCAATTGCAATAAAACAGATACAATATTATAACGCTTGAATTCTGAATTTGAATGGGGACATGCAGTGGAGCATTCGCTCCGACACGTATATACTCGGCTAAGAGATGTTTTGAATCATTGTTTACCCATCCATACCTTTTTTACAAATCGAAACAATATAGTCCATATTTGTTTAACAAATTGCTTTATATATAAACACATAGAAAACAAAGACTTAATGAAACGACTTTCATATAGGGGAAAATTCTTGCATGTAGCAACAGTTGGGGGTGAGTTACACCTGTTCCTTTAGCAACCTAGCTGAAACGCACGTCAAGAAAAATCATGCATGAAATAATAACCTTTTAAGTTAACCTTTCTAATAATTATGATGTATTAAAAAATAATTTCAAGTTTGTGTTGTATATAAGATGTTTAACTATATATATTAGCTTTATTTAGTCTCACAAACCAATACTAATTGTGTCTTTAATAAGGTCAAAGTTTACACTATACAGATCAGGCATATACTTAAGATTGAACAAACAAGGAAATAAGTATCACGAGTTTCAATAATATGCCATGGAACAAGATAGTAAGCTAAGTTGGCTTAATCCCTTTGTATGTAGCACTTTGAAAGGATTACATCCAATTGATGGCCTTTCTCCAATTATATTTTGACTTTGTTTTATGTATATATTCAAAACGGTTTTAAACTCTGATACGAAGGGCATGTTATATATATACTCATATAAAAGATCCCTCTGTATAATCTATTGTATAACCAATAACATTATTGTACAATTTGTACAGTCTAATTTATCAAGCTAATGGCATATAATTCCAACAATTTTCAACAGCTTTTGAGTTTTGACCGGACGTTGCATGTTTTTATGGCGACTATATCTGAAACTCAAAAACACCGAGCTGTCAACTAGTAATGTATATGACATACCAAGTAGTTTCTTTTCTTTTTACAAGGAAATGGCGAACATCTTATTTGACCTGATGTAAAATCACCAAGAAGCATTAAGATAACTGCGATTGAAAACACTAGTAAAAGCCGTGAACCCATTGTAGTTGTACTTGACTGTGTTCTGTTCTACATACGTCTGCCTTTAAGCGAAAAACTGCATGAGATTTATACATTGTAACAAGCTATTAATAATTTAGTGTGTTTAATGATTATTCTATTTTATCTCTTTAATCATTATAAAATGCTTTGCTTTGTTTTTGCACTGCGGTTGTCTCCAGCTAAACAGCGTGCATGCATGCCGCACAAAGCACGCATTAACCCACTTCATTCTTCATCCTTGTTTACGTTGCCTTAACAGGTGCACTTGATTTTTACTTGGCGTGTGCCATTTTGTGCTGCTGTAGCTGACGTTCTTATTTGTTTAATATAACACCTCTGAAGATTGGTCATGTTTTTTATGAAGAGTATAACTATATATTATTAATCGCAAAAAAGGAACTTTTATAATGCGGAAAATTACACAGGAGGAATTAAAAACAGTGTATATGAAAATGACATTTATGATATTTCAAATGTGCATGAATGGAAGAAGTATAGTTCTACAATGAACGGTCGTCGTTAATTAAAGGTTGTTTCATCCAAGAAGAGCCGTGGCAACCTCTTGAAGTATAGAAAAGCTACATTATCTGCTCCGTATCTTTATGATATCGAAAACTTCCCTAATTGTGGTCGTTTGAAGCGCTCTGGCCACATTATAAATATTACACTCTGCGCATGTCTGGATGCGTTGATAGGCCTACCATTGTATTTTACCAGTTGCGCTTGGTGAGAGCATGCTCATGTGTAGTAAATGCGATCGTATCATGCACCTAACCAGGCGTGTACCAAGCTGCACTGATGAGGCGTGGAACGCCTAAACATGCATGCATGTCTGCAAATTCAGAGATAAAATCTGACGTTAAATTGTTCAATACGCAACTTTAATGAGTTTCAAACAACTTTGTCAGATATGAACATGCAAAATCATTTCAACAAAATGTCCGTTTTGAATGTCAACACAAATTCAAAGAAGTTTTATACTATTCCACAATAAGCTTCCGCGTGGCTTGTGTCTGAAAAATATTCTATACGAAAGGGTCGTCGTCAGGAAATTATTGTAGTTAACAGAACTTGAAAGTCCTTGAATGTTCTTGAATTTGAAAACAAAAATTAAAGGCCTGGAATGTCCTTGAACCTGTCATGAAGTACTTGAAAGTCTTGCCTTAGTTTTTGGATATTTTCTGAAATTGTTTGACATTCAAAACGGACATTTTGTTGAATTCATTTTGCATGTTCATATCGGACAAAGCTGTTTGGAACTCATTAAAGATGCGTTTTGAACAATTTAACGTCAGATTTTACTACTGATTTCTAACCCCTTTTCTTCAGTATTTAGTCCTTGAATTTGCTGGTAAATGGCCTTGAATGTCCTTGAAAAGTCCTTGAATTTGACTCTTCCTCCAACCCATGGGGCCCTTTTCAGAAATCATCGAGCTACACGGGGTGTTCAATTATTTTTCAGGTATAGCGGTTCGTGCAGACATGCACAAACCGGCAGCAAGTTAATGACTTTTTTATATGGATCATTAGTTTGAAAAAATGACGTTTCAAAAAAACACCTGCAATGGATCTAGAAACCTTCATGCGTAAATGGAAATTCAGAAAAAACTTTTCCCATTACGAAAGAAAAGAAAGAGGAGGTAGATTGAAATATTTCCAGTGTCACGTCTATGTATCGAAATGCTTTCAGTGGACCATTTGCATTATAGACTAAATTTTGATCTAGACAAAAATTTCAGCACAGCTTGAAAGAGCATCACAAAATTAGTAATATTCCAAAGTTTCGTTGGGAAATGTTGTAAAATGCGGATAATATAGCCTTGCGAAATTTGCAATTTTCAGTCATTTTGTATTACTAACGGGAAATTGATGCCCCAACACCCGATTGGGCTGTCAATCTCCCGTGCGTAATACAAAATGACTGAAAAACGGCAAACTTCGCATGGCTATATTATCCGCATTTTACAACATTTCGCAACGAAACTTTGGAATATTACTAATTTTGTGATGCTCTTTCAAGCTGTGATGAAATGTTTGTCTAGATCAAAATTTAGTCTATAATGCAAATGGTCCATTGAAAATGTTTACACATACATTACAAATCACAAGGCAACATGTGTCAACATTTCTACTTAACATGCATTGAAATCAGATTTTGTTGCAAGTTGTATTACTCCAGCTTAAAGCATGCTCGCAACTCAAACTAGTTGTCATTTGAGACTTATTATATTAATTTGCTAGTAAACAATGTTAATGTTATTAGTAATGATTACTGCTACAGCTTTGATAAACGGCATGCAGCCTGGTCCCTAGCCGTTCTGCAGCTTTCACAAATGAAAAACGAATCAAGCATAGCAAGCACGCGAGAGAGAGCCTGTGGCTAGGCTGGATAAATGCCATACTTCTACCTTAAGATAAATATTAATGCCCAGCAGAAAATATGTAAAAGAGCCATAACAAAAATATAGTTTAAATATTTTAAACTATATTTTTGTTATCAATGGCTCTTTTCCCACACACACCACCGGTACCCAGAAAATTCTTGATTTTTTCTCTGTTATATATCATTTCTCTCATTCGGACTGAAATTATTTCCCTATCATAATTTAGTACTATCATAATTATTTCCCTATCATAATTTAGTACCCTGGTTCCAGAGGCCCTTTGTGAGACGAAAGAAAGTCGTTTCTTTCGCCTCGCAAAGAGCCTCTGGAACCAGGGTATATCAATAGTAAATTCTCTATAATATCAATATGTACTTTCACATTAACATAAAAGCTCGCCAACAGCAACCGCCATATTCCATTCCCACATATTTTAAAAGCAAACATAGTAATGAACATGTTTCTATCACAGGTTTCTATAAACAATTGACTTATTGACCACACAACAGGTTTTATTATGGTTTTAAATACTCGTTCAAAAGTTAAAACGCAGAGAACTCAAACGTTTTTCTTCTTTCGAGACACGAAGCTTCTTCGCGCGCAGCTCGCTACCACTCAAATTTCAAAGCGAAATTTTGACATTCAAACTCTAAATTGCACATTTTGCTCGGCTGTGAATACAGAAATATTAAATGTGAATAAACCTTTACCTTTTGTTTTCCATTGTAACAGATAGTTTCGTTTGGATGGCAATTAGTTTTTCTTGTAATGCAGAATATCGCCAAGCCATTCGTTTTTCAAGACACTTCGTGAGCACTTGATCACTGTACGCGTGACCTCGCGGCGTCGTGGATCGTCGCCAGTGGTCGTCGCAAAAAAAAGTCCGACTACTCTCCGTGCTCAACCGAAACTAAATCGAGGTCAACCCGATAGCCCTCGAGGATTTTCTATTACTTTTATACAGGTATATAAGTCTATAAGCGAATCAAAGGCATGTTTTTATAAGATTTACCCATGTTTTAACGCCATATCTAGTTTTGTGTATAAATATAGTGTTTAGAATTATTTTTTTCCTGTAAATTAAAATATTAATGTTCATTAATATTCATGAATATTTGATTTCTACCATACTATGGTACTGTGGTAATATGGTACTATGTTTCTACAGCACTATGGTACTATACTATGGTACTCTGTTACTATGGTACTGCTGTGGTATGGGGTTCTATAGTACTACAATACTATGGTACCCTGTTACTATGGTACTATGTGTTTATGGTACTGTATGTAGTTCTGCAAAACTGTTGTACTATGTATATGGTACAGATTATGGTTTTACTATGTAACTGTGGAACAGGCTTTTAGCCAGAAGGGCGTTCAGGCGTCCTGGGACGCCCCTAGAACAAAAAATGGACGCCTTCGGACGCCCAAATGCTGGGAGAAAAGGAAATTATTTTCAATCATTTCCCTAAGTATATTAATATATCTGAAACGAAATAGCTTCAATTCTCATTATTATTATACATTTAATATTTTGATCAATTTAATGGTGTGCTTGGATGAATGAAAATGTCGCAGTTAAGTAAAGAAGCAAAGCGGAACAAACTCACAAAACCAAGTTTGTTTGAAAAATTTCGAACGAGCTTGGAACCAGATACTGACATTAAGTAACGTAAACTTCAAAGGTTTTCCAGAGGAACGTTTTCTCGAACCCCCTTACTGTAGATGTATCGCTGTACCAAAATTAGACGCCCTCTTTTAAGGCCCTGTCACACTATTGCGTATCGTACTAGCGTATGCCAGCGTATGAAAAATATCACTCATACGCCGGTATACGCTGACATACGCTAGGGGTACGTTAGGCATAGGTTGTATACGTTTCAAGCATGGTCACATACGGTGGCATACGGCGAGGCAGAAAATTTTTTTTAAGCATGTTCAAAAATTTTGTGCGTGTCGGACGTATGCTTTATACGATAAGCATACTCTAGGCACACGCTGAATACGCTAGAGGTACGCTAGAGGTACGCTAGAGGTACGCCAGATGTACGGTACTCATACGCTAGCATTTCAAAGGATTTTTGTGCGTATGAAAATTATTTCATTGATTTTCATACGCTTCTCATACGTTTCTCTCATACGCAATAGTGTGACAGGGCCTTTAGGACCTTGGCTAAAAGCCTGCTGTGGAACCATGTTTCTATGGTACACTGGTTTTACAATACTGTAGTAATATCGTGGTTGTGAAGACACACCGTTTGCTATTGGTATCGTGGTTGTGAAGACACACCGTTTGCTATTGGGCACTGAAGTAAGCCGCTGAAAATTGCTTTGGTCATTTACAGTAACATTATAACTTTATTTGAGAAGCTTTAGACAAGAAAATGGACACCATATTTGGTAAATACTATTTTAATGCTTTCAACTTTTTCTTAACCTATTTTAATGCTTACTATAGAGATAATAACTACAGAGAATAAATACTTCTTTAAACGACCAACTAAGTCATGGCCTGGCATTCACACGATTCAACAATCTTCACTTCTTTAATGAAATTCCTGCTGGAGTCTTGGCATTCCAAGTTCACATTCACCCTAGCGAATTTCTTCGGACGGCAACAATGGCAGGTCGCCGTGTCTGTTGC